AAATATATAATACTAAAATAAATAAAAAGTGCATTATTATGTTATATATATTATAAATTTATGTAATATAAATATAATATATATAACATAATATAATATATATTTTATTATATAATATATAATATATAATAAAATAAATATAAAATACACTATATTGTATATTATACTATGTTATATATATTATATAAAATATATATTTATATATCATATATTTATGTAATATAAGATATTTTCATATATATATATATTAAAAATAAATATAAGATACAGTATATCATATGCTATAGTATGTTATAAATATTATATATTTATATTTAAATTATTATCAATGTAAATATAAATATAAGATATTTACCATATATCTCATGAGTTATCAAACAGAGAAACTATGAACTTCTTAACTTCCCAAGAAGGTTATCTAACACAGAAACCATGAACTTCTTAAGTAACTTCTAATTTACAGTTCTTCAAGAACTTCCAACTTACAGTTCAAGAACTTGCTTCCAGTTATCAAAGAATCCAAACAATCCGACCACCCCAAACATAACTCCTTGCACTAATAAGTATCATCCTTGGAATATTTGGCATCTCAAAGATCTTGGAAAATCTCCAAAGCATGAAATTCATCAAAAAGAGCAAACCCACCATCCTCATCCCCCTATGAAATCTTAGTTAAATATAGGAATTTCAATAAAAATCTCATGCAAATTAGGAAATTCCTATGGAATAGAGGCAAACTTTGCCAAGATAAAGGGTGGATGCATTTGGACCTATTAAAGAATGACAAGCAATTCCAAACCTGTGCTTTTTCACCACAAGCCAAACACACCCAATTCGCCAAAACTTTATCATCAACCTTGGATCCTTTTGTCAATTTATACCTTTAAAGTTCTTGGGGAACTTTGGAACTCTCTAAGGTCCATGCCTAGTTTCCAGCGACTTCAATATCCTGGCTAGTGGAAGTGAAAAAGGGGGAAAATCAACTCCTTGGAAGTTTTTTTTTTTTGAAACTAACTCCTTGGAAGTTAAAAGGTGAGGTTTCTAATATGATTAATAATTGTGGATTAATAGATTGAGGGAAGCACACCAAGTACAAACATCCACTCCACAATTTTTTTTGAAACATCCACTCCACAATTTTTTTTGAAAAGAAGTTCAACAACAAGTTTTTGGCTAGGATTTCAGATGAGCGAGGCCAGCCCGACAGGTTCTAGAAGGCCTGACTCGACATGGCTAGTCTTGGGAGAGAGAGAAGACCAGTCAGGCAGGATCGGGCCTTAGTTTTAGGGCTTGTAACTACAGTGAGCCAGGCTCAAGTCTAGAGGCCCAACTGGCCATTTCTTGAACCTAATTGGCCATGTCAAGCCTGGCTTGGCTTGTACATTAGTCTCTCTCTCTCTCTCTCCTCTCTCTCTCTCTCTCTCTCTCTCTCTCGATCTATCTATGGAGAAACTTCTCCCTTGATTCTTTCTATTATTAAATTGTGACTCTTTCTTTGTGTCATTTTTATTTCTTTCTAAATAGCACCTTATTTATCATCCCTCCTCTTTATTTTTTTCTAATTAGATATTCATTTCAGTTAGAAATTCTATAGTATCTTTCTTTCTAATTTGATACGGAATTCAATTTGAAAATTTTAGTTCTATATTGTTTTAGAAACCAATTCAATTTGAAATCATAAGGTTTTTTCTTCCTTCGCATATCTTTTTATATTGGGCCAAATTCAATTTAATAATTCCTAAGGGGCCGTTTGATTTTCAAATTTTCTCAAATTGTGTTTTTTTTTTTTCAAATTATATTTGATCAAATAGCAATTTGGCCAATTATCATTTGGTTCTCAAAATTTTAGCCTAAAACAATCAACCTAGTGTGGTGTTTTGAGTCTTTTGACTGAGGGAGTAACGCAAAATATGCTCCTGCATGAGCACAATACATGTGCTCAATCATCAATTACAAACTCGGTCAAAATGGGAAATCTAGGCCATCCTTGAGTGTCAATAGTATAGATTTGAGAAGGGTAAATCTTGCCCAGCATCGAGTGCTAGTTTAGAGAAGGGTATTGTATAATTAGGGTGTAGTGGTGCATTGTATACCACAATAATGTTGTTTACTGAATTTGGTATGAAATCATGCTCGAATGCATCACAATAAGGTTTTTCACTGAATTTGATATGAAATCATGTTCCAATGTACCCCAATACTGTTGTTTGCTGAGTTCGATATGAAATCATACTCCAATGACATCAAAAATTCAAAGGCAATCTCAATGCCATGATTGGAACCGTGGATTTGGAAAGAATTAAACATGCTATCCAATGGAACTCGCTTTCAATTTACAATATCCGGAAATAGTGTACTTCGAAAACTCCGATCCTAAGAATAGCACAACGTGATCCCTTTTGGTCGGGAACTCGCTCCCATCCAGATAGCAATGCACTTCCTAGAAGTTATGATACTCGCTCCCATTTCCAGGCTATGTACGGAGCTCACTCAGCCGCCCAGGGAACTTCAAGCTAGACTTGCTCCGTGCTCCCATTCTTGGAACTTCTCATGTTCCCGTTCCCAGTAACTATAGTTTGAAGAGATTCCCCAAGGATGATTTATAGGCCAGACGAGTTTCGTGGTCTCCTGTATGCAGATGTGGGCTTGTGAGGAAGATGATTAAATCCTCAACAAACTTCTGCACGACATATATACATGACAACCGCATATGGGGAAGTAACCCTATATAGGGATTGTGTACATGTGCATAGAGAGTCCCTCATGCACTATAGTGATATGTACGTGTGTCTTGCTCTTAAAGGGGGGAACCTGCATGACACTATGGGTCATAGATCTCGTTAGGTTGATTTGAGAAGACAATCGAGGACCACAGTTATTGGATTGGGTGGAGTGCCTCGACACTTTTCTTGATCCATGGTGCCAATCCACTTTTTAGAATTTTTCTATTTTTAGTCATAGAAATGTTTTTGTGATGTTTAGAAAATTTTCAAATTTTTAAAATCATTTTCAGCAGTGAAAAACAGTTAAAAAGGTGTTTTCATGATTTCCAAAAATCCTAGGCATTGTGGGATCCATGTGAGGTTCAAGGGCCCAGCCCCGCATGTTGGGGGCCACAAAGGTGTGGGACATAGGGGCCACAAGGCCCACACGTCGTAGCTCACTGTTGATGCCCATGTCTTTCCATTTTCTTTTTGTGGACTAAGCTTTGTCTTTTAATATAGATGGTTTATTAAAGAAGGAAACTTTACGAAATCGTTGGAAAAGATTTAGTGTACATAGTTTTGTGGGAGTAGAGAAGATTCTGATTTTATGTTTGAAAAATATTCTTTCAAATTTTTGTTTTTGACCAAATCTCTTTACTTTGAATTCCTGCAATCGCTTTGTGAGAAAAGATGAAGTTCTAGTCAAGATAGAAGAGATCTTTTTATTGGCCTTCTCCTAGGTTGATTAGAAGTGGATCTAGGTAAAAGATTCAGGGGATAAGGTTGCTAGATTCCTCCCTAAATCATGATGGCTGATTTATGGGATGGATGACTTAGATTTGTTCCTCTCGTACCTTACAGATTACCTAGGAGTCCTATGGCCGAGATGAATTCTAAATTAAATAGGCATACCTAGACCTGCTTGGAGGCGCTAAATATGGGGCAGACCAGCTGATTCTTACCATCTGGAAATTCCTAGCCTCTCTCTTCTTCTTCTTCTTCTCTTCTCTCTCTCTCTCTCTCTGTAGTCTCAAGGGGGTGGCGCTCAATACTCTAGGGATCTCGGGGGCATGCTACTCATAGGTTAGATAAGAGGGCCACAACCAGCCCTAGAAGGACCAAGGGAAGTGCCACTTGTGGCATGCCCTAGATAGGTTCAAAAGGGTCTAGAAAAATCCTAATTTATTTTATGCTCTCAAAACCCCAGTAAAAAAGATATTACCTAAGGAGCTTCCCCACCCAGAGAATTCAGTGGGGCCAATGGAATCAGAGTATGCCATCAAATAGGTAATTGAGTGTGGGGTGTACCAAGTCCTAAGGGGTGATACTATACAAAGTCAAGTAAGTCTTCCCAGCCGTTCTAAGTTTATTTTCGGTTCTAATTAATGAATTTATTGCAATTTTCAGGAACATTATTTGTATTAGCATTTATAGTTAAAGCTTGTATTTTAGTTTTTTTATTTAAAGCATTGTTTTGTGGCACTTGTGAGTGGAATTCATATATACTAATAAAAGAAAAGAGAATTTTTTTGTTTTTATTCCTTGGAATTCCACATTGTCACTTCTTTCACAACTAACATAATCCAATTTCAGACTTCATTGTTGCACCTTAGCTTCTTGGGTATTTCAACTACGAATTGGTGTGCACAAGTCCATTCTCTTTAATTGTCCCAATTTAATAGTTATAATGAAGGAGAACCTTAACCTTATTACTTTGATAGTTACATTATGCCAGCAATCAGTGCTAGGATACTAATTTATTCAATCAGTACTAGGCTACTAATCTATTTTCAGTTTAAATGGCCATCGTGATGTGGCATACATGTATTAATGATATTATCATATATCTGCTTTTTTTAGTTCGTTTTCCAGAACAACTGCTGGACGCTTATATGCATTATGAAACTTTCCATTCACAGTATTTAATTCTCTTGGTGCCAATGCTGTATATTGAAATTGTGAAATGAAATTGACTTTCTAAAATGTGGCTTAATTTCGAAATTGTGTTTTCCAGGACAACTGCTGGAAGCTTATATGAATATGAAACTTTCGATTCACAGTATTTAATTCTCGTGGTGCAAATACTGTATATCGAAATTGTGAAATGAAATTTACTTTCTAAAATGTGGCTTACTTGCAGGAGTGTGATTATCTTAGAGCAATTGCTCAACCTCGACTTCAAGTTTCTACTGTTGTGGATACAAAAACAGGGAAGGCACGTATGCTAAATCAGTCAAAATTTTCATGTTCATTCAAACTTATCAGTTCATTGTTTTCATGTTTAACTTCAGTTAAGTCCATTTTCCCTAGCTGTGCATTATTATTCTTCCTCTACATATTTTGTCTCACTATATTGCATTCCTCTGCATGCGTTTGTTGCTATGAGTGACACCTCCCTTTTGTATGCAAAATATCTTCTCTCTAGAAAAGTACAATCTGAGAACCAAAGGGATACTCAATTCCTCATATAGACTTCACTTCTTGGACATAATTCGTTAATTCTGATCTTGTTATTTCTTTAGTAAACTTGTTAGCGTTAAAGTTTCCTTAGTGTAAATGTCAACTGTTGATTACGTATACACTAAATATTGGATTATGGATCTCATCAAAATATTGACCAAGTTCCACAGCAATCTAGGTATTGCAGACCTGCTTTTATTCCTGAATTTAGAGTGAGACAAATGAAAGGAAAAGAGAGGAACATGAGGCATTAGTGTGTATGTGTTTTCTCTGTGTTGGCACCAAGGCCCGTCTACTCCGCCCTTGACCTTCCATGCTGGCTTGACAATCATGGTCAACTAGAACCCGTGTCGATTTGTGAATGATAAGGCTTACTATATTAACAAGTCATGAGCTCCTCGTAGCTACCTTAGTCATTTTACAGGCAAGGAAGAAGTCATTGTTAATTGGAGGAGGGATCATGGGAACTGCATTTCGGTGGATCCTAATCTATTATCTGTCCTATACCATTGAAACTGCATTTTGATGGATCATATCCTATAATCCCTGTTCTATCTTCTAGAGCCATGATGTGCTTAGGGATTCAACATCGGTTGAGCCATAGGCACCCCTTGCTGTCTTCAATCTCTGCATAGTTTACCCATTACAAAGCCCAGACCTTTTTACCTAGAATTTAAGTCAAAACCTTTCCACTAGCTAGATGCATTACTTCTGCGTTCTAGAAGTTTGGGTGGTCTTGTCCAAATTATCAACATGAAGCTGAGGTCTGTTACTTCTACATATTCTTTTGGATGCAAATCCAGTGATTCTGGATCTTTCAGTGACTGGAAACTTTACATAATTGCTTGCTATGCCTTGAATTATCCTTACTATGACATAGCCACATTATCCATTTGGCCCATCCGGGGTCTTTTCTCTGCAAGAATATATCAAGGTTTTGTCTGTTGCTTGCACTTTACGAATTTAGAGTAGAAAGTTTTTTTATGTGCTATGTTGTTGAATGGTATTCATTTTCACATGGAATTTTATTTTCAGTGCATTTAGAAGCAATATTGAATCTCATTATTTTTCAATTTTTAATGTTGTTTGCAGGGAATCAAAAGTGAAGTTCGGACAAGCTCTGGCATGTTTTTGAATTCTGAGGAGAGAAAATATCCAATGATACAGGTAGGTTACATTATTTACTTGTTGAAACAGATTTCCTGAACGTTAATACAAAGCTTGTGTTTCAAAACCATATTGCATGGAATGACCCTAAAAGTTTGAAACACACCAAACCTTTTGTTATCGACCTACTCATGTACTTGGGAAAGAATTTTAAAGCTACTGAGAAATGGCTTATTACAATTGGGTTGAACTAGGTTTCTTTTTCTTTTCCCTTTTTTTTGTGGCTAAATTGGTTGTAACCATTTTATAATTTTTGCTCAGTACGGTTGAACCAGGTCAAACCATTATCCAAATTGGTTTTCTCAAAGAAATGATTAAGTTTTTGTTTGTTCTTTTCTTCTTTGGTGAATACTTTTTGTTATTTCAGGAAAGCTTGGTTCAACCGTTTGACAAAACAAACCTTGGATAGATGGCTGACTGGTACAGCTTTTGTAATATTGGTTAGATGTATTTTTTTTGACATTAAGAGGTTCAGTTGATCAAATTTGCACAGACAATATTAATTTTAACGGGAAACAATTTATGCCTTTTTTCTTTGAAGCCATGAGGTTATTTGGTTTTCATATGCCTTATAGAGCTTCACAATTTGGCTTTTTATAGGACTTTCATCTTCTTGGTATTCGCATGGAATTCAGGCTATCATATATGTCATTAATATCATTATGATTTTCATGTGTGTGGATCTAGAAGTGGCAATCTGGAGTAATTCTTTTATAGGTTGTTATTAGAACTAGTAGATTGCAAAATGAAGATTGTCAGCTTCTGTTTGTTTTGCAGGATAAGTATAAAAAATAATGCTTATTATACATATCGATTTATTAGATTATGGTCGTCATGTGATAATTTAGATTTATGGCTGTTGAAAATCATTGTTTGTTCTTCCTACCATCTGTCACCTTTGAGCCAAAAATAATTGTAATGCATCTTTTGTGGTTGGCCCTAGTTAAAGGCATCGTTGTAGTTCACAATAGATGCAGCTTACTTTCATCCATGGAATCTTTCTTATGTTTACAATGTGTTAAATCTTGTTGCTTAACCAAAGATCAAAATATTTTGTTGTGTTCATTTTCTGTCTGTTACATTCATTACCCCTTGATAAGAAAATTGACTAGAGAGCCACGAGTCAGCAAACTGTGCTCCTTGGATTATTTCTTAAAATCTTCAGGCATTCGTTATGCCAACTCTATTGTCAGTTCTCAGTGTCATCAAACTTATAATTTCTGATGTAGATTGATACCTTACTCTGAATCATTGAGATTCATCACCACAAGTAATCATCCTGGGATCGTTCTCCAACTCATTGAGGCTTGTATGGGTGGATTGGTATCTATTCTGTCAGTTACTTCAAATACTTATCTTGATAGTGACAAGCTGATCATCTAATTAGTTACCTGTGAAAAATTTCAGCAGTTTCTATCCCATATTTCTTATTAGGATGGTTGCTGACAATCAAGTAAAAACGAAGTGTGTTAAGCTGGGATAGATGCCATTAATGCAGAGAGTAGGTCAGAGGTCCCCAGGGCTAATTTCCTTCATTCAATTATGCAACATTGCTATGATCTTTCTTTGCTGATTATTTTTGCAGCGACATTCCCAGCAACGGGCTAACTGATTAGGCAATTTTAATAGTTATAGTCTCAACTGGAAGTACTCTCTTTCTGATAGACTTCAGAGTGCATACATTGTGTGTGTCTTTTGGGCTAAATGTTAATTTCTTATACGCAAAGAAATTGAAGCTAACCCTGCTTGAAACATTTAAAATCCTTTGCTTCATTTTCCTGTTTTTGGTAGTTAGAGCCTTGTGTGATCCCAACCTCACCTAATGCCTTCCAGTTAAGCTATGTTCCTGAACCCTACCGGGACTATCCAACAAGCCAGTTATACTTGGACCTTCATCCTATTATAGGGATTGGATCATTTTTGGAAATTTCAGTCCGGTTATCTCTTTAATGGCTTAGGCCAATTTTCAAATCAGATTTTTTTAGCAAGGTTGGAGATACAGGAGAGCAGCTGATTGAGTTGTTCTTACCATAGAGAGAAATTCTCTATATGACAGGAGTTTTGTGGTCAGCAGTCTTGCTGAGGCTCAAGTGGTGTTGAACGGAGTTTTCCTAGCAATGGATCTGGGGATCCAAAACCCTTGAATTGAAGAAGAGTCCAAACTGTATATTGAATCCGTCACAGACAATATAACAACCCAATTATTTATCTTCAATATCATTTTTCGTAGTCAAGCTCTTTCACTTGCACTTCTAGTGGAGAGAGTACCTATTATATTTAGAAAAGGAACACATTTAGTGCCGTGCCCAACTAGCTCCAAGAGCTCAATGGGAACACAATTTGTGATGTAAGAAGGGAGGAAGTACCTTAGTATATGGTGGTTCTGCTTATTTAGAAACATAAGGAAAAGATCTCCATGGCTGTTGTGTCTATATAACTTCTTTAGAGCATTTTTTTTTTAATTGTTCTTTATGTTTTCTAGTCTCAAGCTAGTCATTTTGATATTTTCCTCTTAATATATGCATCCTAAAGCGATTAGTCAAAATGCATGGGCTTCTTCTTTGTAGTTGTCCGTGATGTAGGACAAAATTATTCTTATTTTTAATTTCTATTAAATTTCAAAGGTTATATATTTTGATCTTAGTTTTAGGTTTTATTTTTTGGATTTTTGAGTTTTTTAGGGATTCTAAGAATTTTATTTTTATTTACTATTCACTAGTTACTATTCATGGTTATTGTTCACAGTTACTATTCATGGGTACTGTTCATGGGTTACCCTTCACAAGGATAAAATTATTATTACAAATGTTTTGTTTAAGGTAAGACTTTTTGGATCATTTTAATTATTGTATGGATATTTAATGTCTTTGAACTTGACAGTATAATATATAAGAGGTGTGTGGGGCCTTGAGGGATAACTCCATGTGATTTCAGAATTGAAAAAGAAAGAAAATCTTTAGGCTCTTGGAACTCTAGCTTGGGGTGAGGAGGAAATCTTAAGTTTTTCCTAGTTATTGCTTGTGTTTGACATGTTTTCTTGGTGATTTTACTGTTTTCTCAAATTTCCTTGTATCAAATGGTATCAAAGCTCATGTTTTCTTCAATAAGAATGTCGGGAACTACAGCCAAGCCTAGGGTTTACTGATTTTGGGCCACATTTTACCAAATTAGCCTAGATCTTGTTGGTTTCAACAGGTTTTGTTGATTATCTGTCTAGAGTTTGTGATTGGCGAACCCCATGAAAAAAAGAAGGGACTATGGAAAGGGGTTTTTGCAATATCCACTTCGTGATCCCAAAGATGAAATTGAGGAACTTAGAAGGAAAGTTTAGCAGCTGCCAGCATCATTCATGGGCAACATGGTAATCTTTCTGCCTAATAAGGTATCGAGTATAACCCTTTTCACCTCCGTGCTCTGCATGAAGAGTTGAGTGAAGAGGAAAGCGATAAAAGACCTAGACGTGGGGAACATTACTCTAGGGTTTTCAATTTGGTAAAGATGACACTTTTTATTTTGACAAAGGTTGTATAAAAAAAATAGCATGTTGTAGATTGGGATTTGCCATCAATCTTCGATATGTACTTAGATGAACAACAATATCTCTTTGGAGATCCGATCTATGATAAAGATCAAGATGAAGATGCTCGGAAGAGGATCTTACTCGTCAAGAATATGGAGAGAAGGCAGTAGGGGAGCTGATAAAAGCATGGCCTTTGAAGATCTTAAAGATATTAAAGAGGTGGGGCATTCAACATATTTAAAGAATTGAAATCAGAGTAGCACAAAGGAAGCGTGGTCGACTCATAAATTGCAAATTGTAGCCCTGAAGGCAGTAGGGGAGCCGATAAAAGCATGGCTTTTGAAGATCTTAAGGATATTAAAGAGGTGGAGCATTCAACATATTTAAAGAATTGAAATCAGAGTAGCACAGAGGAAGCGTGGTTGACTCATAAATCGCAAATTGTAGCCCTGGTTTCAGAGTGTAATGAAATATATGTCGAGAAAGCCTCTAAAGGTCAAAAAATTGAGTTTGAAGTTTCCTACACAATTTTCAATGCCAGTTTAGGGATGGCCAAATTTGATAAGTTCGTATCAATTCCTTACTATACATACTGGAACAATATTTGTGCCAAATTTGATCTGTTTCTTAGGGATTTCTTCTTATCATGAATAATATTTGAGCCCACAAAGGAGGTTGGAAAATGTGGTTTTGATGCTAAATTCATCTTAGGACACTTCAAAACTCGATTATGAATTTTCTCCAGTCAGGACAGAATGATGCAAGAAAAATTAATCTTATTTTTTATTTTTATTCATATCTTAGTTGATAATCCATGAAAATAGAGAGATTGAAGAAGATATCACACTTAGAATTAGAGCTGGGTGTGCGAAGTGGAGATGTGCAACCACCAGAGTTTTATGTGATTGTGGTATACCAATGAAGCTGAAGGGCAAGTTCTATAAAACAGTTGGGAAACCAGGTTTACTTTATGGGGCGGAATGTTGGGCGGTCAAGAAACAACATACCTATAGAATGAGTGTAGTTGAGATGAGGATATTGAGATGGATGAATGGCAAGACAAGAAGGGATAGAATTCGAACTGACACAGTTTGGAGAATTTAGGTGTGGCACTAATTGGTGATAAGATGAGATAAAGTAGACTTAGGTGAGCTGGCCAGTGTCAGCTTTACTTTATAGGACGAAATGTTGGGCGGTCAAGAAACAACATACCTATAGAATGAGTGTAGCTGAGATGTGGATGTTGAGATGGATGAATGGCAAGACAAGAAGGGATAGAATTTGAACTGACACAGTTTGGAGAATTTAGGTGTGGCACTAATTGGTGATAAGATGAGATAAAGTAGACTTAAGTGAGCTGGCCAGTGTGGCATAGACCCAGTACAACACCTGGTAGGGGTTGCGAGTTAGTTCAAGTGGAAAGCTCAAAAAGGGGAAGGGGTATGCCCATGCCCAAAAGGACATGGTTGAAAATAACGAGAAAAGATGTGAGGATTATGCCTCACTGAAGGTGTGGCCTTTAATAGAGCAGAATGGGGGGCCAGGATTCGTGTAGCCAACCCCAATTAGTTGGGAAAAAGCTTTGAGGATGATGATGATGATTTTTTATACAATTTCAAAGGATGCATGATCTTAGTTTTAGGTTTTATTTTTTGGGTGTTTTAAGTTTTTTAGGTATTTTAGGATTTTGTAATATTTTTATCTGCTATTTAATAATTACTATTCATGGATAGTGTTCACACGAGTAAAGTTGTCATTACGAAGTTTTAGTTTAAGTTAGAACTTTTTGGGAAATTTTAATTATTGTATGGACATTTAATTTTTTTTAACTTGGCAGTATAATATGTATGAGGTGTATGGGGCCTAGATGGGTTATTCAACATGATTTTCAGAATTGAAAAAGAAAGAAAAGCTTAGGCTCTTGGAACCCTAGCTTGGGGTGAGTTGGAAACACTAGGTTTCTCCTAGTTATTGCGTTTGTTTGGCATGTTTTCTTGCTGATTTTACTGCTTTTTCAAATTTCCCTATATTAATATGTTTCTTCTTAGTATTGTTAACCTTTTTGGTCAACCTTTTTAGTGATTTTCTAAGATCTCTCTTATATTAATATCGACTGCAAAGTTCGCTGTTTCTTATCTTTTGTCTTTGATGTGATCAGGCAATAGAAAAACGAATTGCCGTCTTTTCTCAAGTGCCTGCTGAAAATGGAGAGCTCATACAAGTTTTGCGGTAGAACTACTGTCTATTATCATAAATGAAATGTATATGAATATGAATTGTAGGCCAAAATTTCAATACTAATGTCTGAAAAATCGCAGGTATGAGAAGAGCCAATTCTACAAGCCTCATCATGACTACTTTTCCGATGCAGTGAGTACTGTGTCACCTGCTTTAGTACCGTGCTGATATCAAAATGAAGCATTGTTACCTACTTAAGCAAGTCTGAATCATTCTAATTTACATTTTGTGTTCGTAAGGAAAGTTCATCAAAGGGTTCAATGAATATTCAAAGTGTTCAGTTTTGTGAATATATTATTGATGGTAAATATGGTTCGTGTTTTCATGCAAGTGCAGTTCAACATCAAACGCGGAGGACAAAGAATAGCAACGATGCTCATGTATTTAAGCGATAATGTTGTGGGGGGTGAAACATATTTTCCATCGGTGAGTTTTTCCCAGCCATGCTTTTTGGTTCCTCTCTCTGTCTCTCTCTCTCTCACACACACGCACACGCTATTTTTTTACATATGTATACTGGCAAAAAGCACCATACCTGAAGAAGGGCAATCCTTTACCTGCACATCAACTAGAAGCTAGATAGACTAGAAGAGTCCTAAAGCATTCACAGTTCCCACTATTTCACATCCTGTGACAATAACAAGCTTTAAATTAGAGGCAAAATGATGAATTTGGAAAGCATCTCACACCCCTGGTATTGTAAGATAGAAATTATGACTTAATTGAAGGGTGCACTATTTAGTTAGGAAGGCATGTGTAGTAGGCAAGGAAAGGTTTAGCAGGTCCCGTATAATTTTTATTAATAAATGCACACTGAGAAGCACAGAAGTGCCAAAGTCTGTTGCTGCAGTGCACTTAGGAGAATGACACCCAATAGCCTACAATATTCTTTACTTCCATAAACTATGATGATCCCTATATGTGGTTTGTATTGGATGTTCAACGTTAGGCCTTTTGGCGTGATCATATCAGCAGCTTAGTTAGGCGACTGTATGCCTTCAGGAATTTGGTGTTCAAGATTCTGTCTGTTCTGAGTTCCCATTGGCATTCCTTTCTCCTCCATGATGGCAGTACTAATTTGTTTCTTTATACTAGTTTCTGGTCCCCTTCCACATCCTTATATTTTAAATCTTCCTTGAGCAGCATCAAGCTTACATGCATTATTATTATGAAGTCTATTTTGTATAAATTGTAGACATTTTATTCCAATGTAAATGGATATTAGTTCAACAAGGCATCCTTTATACTGTCAGACATCCTTTTGGCAGAATATCCAAGAACATTTGGAACTTTTACGTTTAAAGCATTCATTACTTAAAGGGTGTGGTCTCTATAAGGTTGCAACCTTAAACAATTCAATTGAGGTGCACCTCCAAATTTTATCATAACATGTAATTTTGGTATACACAATTCTTTGGATTATCTCAAAAATTTATTTTCATATCTAATTATAAAATTTTAAAATCAAAAAGTGGTTAAAATCAAGTAGATCTATAAACATATGAAAATTTTGAAAATGGACGGTCTAGATAATGTGTTGCAAGATGCTCTATTTTTAGGACTCGAAATATTTGTTATTTCCATATTCATACATCTCGTTGTGGAGATGATCAATCCGATGGATTTTTTAGGTGCATATGTAGTTCTACATTTTAAGGTTGCAATCTTATATAAACTTTTTTCCTGTGGTTTTTATAAGGTTGCAACCTTAAACAATACAATTAAGGCCACCTCCAAATTTTGTCATGTAATTTTGGTATAAACAATTCTTAGGATTATCTCAAAAATCTATTTTCATATCTAATTATGTATAATTTTGATGTTACTAATGATCTCACATTTCTTCCAATTGCTGGGAATGTAGGCAGGAAATGGAGAATGTAGTTGTGGAGGGAAGATGATGAAAGGGCTGTGCGTGAAACCAGGGAAAGGAGATGCGGTGCTGTTTTGGAGCATGGTTTGTTTTCATGCTTAGATAGTTTTACAGCTAGCATTTCATTGTTAATGGGAGCCCAAGTGTTTATTGAATTAATGAATTTGCTATTATGGCCTTGTGCAGGGGCTTGATGGGTCAACAGATCCAAATAGTATTCATGGAGGGTGTGAAGTTTTGGATGGAGAGAAATGGTCAGCTACCAAATGGATGAGGCAGAGAACTAGCTATTAACCCCACTTTCTAGTTGTTCAACCGCCACAGGGCATCTCACATAATCCGTTGTGTTCTAATATGCAAATTTTCCGGACATGAGTGTGGTACAGATGTAAATATTCAATAAAAGAAATTTTTTATTGATTAAATATTTTTTGAAGTTTGATGCAGTTAAGATTGGACATAAATAAATTAATCAGAAAATAAAGAAGATCTTCTAGGGAGTCCAAAATAAACTTTTATTATCTTCACTATCTGTTTTGTCAAATTACATATTTATAAAACAAAAGAAACTTAGAACTTAACTTGTTTAGTCATCATCATTATCATCATAATTTTTTTCTATTTAATTAGGGTTGGCGATACAAATCTTGATCCGTCATTCTGCTTTATTAATGGTCATATCTTCAGTGAGGCTATAAGTCTTATATCTTTTTTAACTACTTTGAACCACGTATGATACTAGGTCTGTGCCATACATGGCTAACCCACTTAAGTCTACTCTCTTTCATCTTATCGTTTATAGATGTCACATCTTAAATTTTCTCGAACGAATTCATTTTGAATTTTATCCCTTCTTGTTTAGCTATTTATCTATTTCAACAACCTCAATTTCACTACACTTATTCCATGGGTATGTTTGTTTTGTTCGTCCAACATTTTGCCTCATAGAGTAAAGCTGGACTTACAGTTGGCTTATAGAATTTTGTGTTCAACTTCATTGGTACATAGCAATCAATGTTTGCAAAATTGAATCAACCAGACATGGGTTCAGAGGCCGTTTAACTGGCCTAATAGGTAAACCGGCTGATTGAAACATTCTAATAGGACAAGTCTCAGATAGTCAAAAAAATATTGAAAAAAATNTAAAATATCCAAAAAAAAAAAGTTTCTAAAAATATGAAAAAGCATATAAAGAATGATTAAAACAAAATACATTCAAAATGAAGTTAAAAATT